ATTTAAACAAGAACTAGTTTTTATCCGCGACTACGTTCGTATAATTAAGATGCGATGACTAACTGGAATAAAAAAATACTCACTTATATTATAAATGTGAAACTGATTTTATTTCTTTGTTGCCTCTTAACGTCTTACAGCTTAATCACTATGACATTTAGTTTATACTTACTATATGGGATGGTTGCCGTGTTGTCCCGGCATAGAATAGGCCACCCCTTCCTTTACCGTGGATGTCGTAAGAATCAACTAAGGAAGGCGAGGGATGGGCAGCAGCGTCCCTCTTAAAACATCACTAAAGCCTAACTGCGGTTGCCAACCCGCCTGCCAAAACCCCCCAAGGGGGAGGCTTATGTGCAGCAGTGGGCAGTTAAAAGCTGATATAATGACGATGATGATATGGGATGGAGATGGACATAGGCATTTATGCTAGTCAGTAAACATATCCCGGTCATGCTGACAAAGTCACGAGTAAAAGCCTATAGAATAGCACGTATACAAAATTTCGAGGCTGACTGATTGAACCATTAAGGTGTTAAGAGGTAATAAACAAACAAACTAAATATCACAATTATAATAATAATAAGGATTAACATCAAAAGAAAATGATCAAACAGTTCAGTAGCTGAATTAGAACGGACATAGTACAACTTTATTAGTTTTAATAGTTCAAACTTAATTTTCAAAACAAATCCTTCCATACGCACCCACAGAAAATTGGATCCATTTCATATATATGTAGTAATTATATTTGTAATTACAAAGTCACGATGACTCGATTAAACGATGACATCTGTTGGGAAATCGCATGTAATTTAAACTATGTCATGTTTTAGTATCACGAAAATTTCTATATTTAGCATGTGTTGTATTGAAACAGGTGTCACTGAAAAGATAATTTCAAAATATTCTGTGAATTGTACTATCTTATGCATTGAATGTCTTGAAGGGGATTGGATATTGAATATGTTACCGAGAACAAGATATACCTAGTTGGATGTATTAATTTTAAATTTATGTTAAAAAAGTGAATAGAAAAAAAGTTATTTTATAACAAAAATAAGGTCTATTTAAAAAATAAAAATGAATATGGCATACAAAATAGTTAACGTGTATAGAATTACTTAAAATATTTAAAATGAATGGAAGATATCCTAATATCTCTACTACTATTACTACTACTTATACTATTCAGTGATCCATCCATCAAATATAAAAAACGATGTTGAATAATATGTATTTTTTATAAATAATGAAAAGACATTTTGACTTTTTATGTACCCCAATTAGAGAATGTCTTCATTGATTAAACAATTTAGTTAATTTAAAAACAAAGTTACACTAATTCTCTTCTGTTCACGGGTAATTTCATTCAGATTACACTTGATCTAATTAGATTACCCTACTGAAGAATTAGTTTTAAGTTTTGATTCAGCGCTTGTTAAAAGCGCATTCAGCCGAGTAACTTGATTTTAAAGTTAAAGCGCACAAGAACATCACGTGTAATGTACACCGAAGTCACTTCTGACAGTAATTAAATCGTATGGGCTTTTATGAAGAACAAAGTGATGGGTATCAACAGTGTCGCGTTCGCATTAACGTGAAATCTTAATAAATTAAACCTTTTCCTAATTGATGTAAGAACTTTTACGAAATTCATTATTGAGTCTTATGTGATCTACGTCTTTAATGTTCTACAATGTTAATAGATACTCTTCATTTCGTTCTCTTCATAAGATTATATTAGAAAATTGTGCTAAAATTACACGAATTAGATCACGTAGAGAATGTGTGTGATTCTAAGACTTAACCCACAGTGGGAACCCACTGTGGGTTGTCTTAGATTTTTTTTATGTAGCTTAAAAAGCTGGTGCCCCACCTGATGGAAAGTGGTAACCATCGCCTATAAACATAGACAATACTATGGACATAAGAGTATACTGTTTTGCCCATGATAGCATGAATAATAATAATTTAAAATAATTTGATTATTAAACATGTTATTTAGAACCTACTATTTTAACGAATCACACCTCTTAAAGTCCAATAAAATACCAACATTTTGGAATTTTTAGAGTTTAGTCCTGAGTCGATGCCATAATATTTTTTTCTTTTTATAATTATGATATAACGGCTCATCTCTAATTGTCGCTTATATCAATAAAAAGCACCACAGCCGTTACAGAACGCTTTACGATGCCATTGGCACCCCTCGTTCTTTTTATAATAAAGGGGGCAAACGAGTATGCGGTTCACCTGATGGTAAGCGATTATCACCGCTCATGAGCATCCGCAACATCAGATGCATTGCAATTGTGCTGCCGGCCTTTTACAGAGGAATGTTTTCTTAAAGGTTATGAAGTCATATCGGTTTGGAAATACTGCTTGTAGAGGTTGATTCCAATGCGTAATTGTACTTGGAAAAAAGTGCTTTGAAAAATGTATGGTGGAGGGCCGCCACTCGTCCAGTTGCTTGATCCTCGTGCCTGCGTTTCCTGGGAACTACAGTGTAATAGGTTATTTGTCATTTTACTACCATATTATACCTTTTCAATTAAAATCCAGCCATGCAAGCACATCTTCTTTACGGCACAATTACAGGTGGGATAGAAGAACTCATGCAAATGAATTTTGTACAAAGCCTCTTTTTAATTATGTGATAATTAAATTTGCTGTTACGAGACAAAATTTATTTGTAGATATATAATTCCACGTTCTTTATAATAACTTGACTAATGGATACAGCTTTATTCAATCTTCCTTTATCGTATTTGTCTTAATAAACTTCGAGCCATTTAACTGATGGTCTATAAAACCCTACTCAGTACTCACATTTTATTATGTACGAAAGTCAAACATAAGAACCCTTATTTCCATTGATTTGCTGAAAGCGTTGAGAATACGAAAGAGACCGTAGATACATACCTGTTACCTGGAAATAATCTCATACAATATTCATACAATCGACAGTTTGCTTGGTCACATGTCGCCAGTTTACGTTTGATGTTTGTTTTTCATCTGAGAGACGAAAATAACCAAATGTGTATTTATATTTGAACGGAGACTGTACAGTTGGATAGCACTTAACTATAGTCCAGAAGTCACATGACTGAAACTTTGTAATCTTTTTAATATTTAAATAATCAATGTCATATTTGGCTAATGTAAAATGGTCGTTACACGTTTTATGGCCCTGAGAGCTTATAAAGTCGTTGTCCAGTAAGCAATGTCAATGGCCTTTGAGTATAACGAAAGCAACTTAAAAAGCCTCAACACAAAGGTCGACACCCTCATCCGAGCAGTACTAATTAAAAGAAACAAGAAGCCGATAGGCCTCATTATTTTTTTTTTTTAATTTTCATCATTGTTTACGTGGTTCCTTCGTCGCTAACCACTACCGTTAAGCTACTACTACCGAGCGTACTCGTGTCAAATAATCATCATAATGTTTATTATTACGTAAAGTAACCTATATGCTGTTGAGATATAACCCAAGAATGTACCAAGGGGGGGAGGATTGTTAGTAATGGGATCTAACTGGCCCATTTATAATTCTTTAGGAAACAATTTTCAGATTCACTTATAGAACACTGCCTTAAAATACTCATGATAAATTTCACTCTATTGATATAACTACTTCAAATATCCCCAAATAGTTGACTATTTAGTATCGTTTAAACAATAGTTCAATACAATAGCTATAGGATTCCGTCGTAAATTGGCAAAATTCGACAGTAATTTGTGTAAACTATAAGTGAATATTACAATATAAAGTGAATTGTTTGTGATTTTAGTACAATTGATATTAGTTTGTAGTTCAATAATGCTTGTGTTTAATTTAATCAAATTATAAGTACTCATATAATAAAACGTAGTGAAATCAGTTCCCAAAATGCGAAGAAAAGTGATTTTTAAGGTTTCTTACTCAAAGTTACAATGGTACAACTTTGTCAACTTTTATTTTTCTAAAGTCACAAATCTATATTTTAATATTTAAAATTTTAAGCGGTTTTAGATAATTATAGATTATTGAAAAAGAATAAAAATAGAAACAGAATTTGCATTTTCTAATTCGGTTGTATTTTTTATATATTTATTATATCTCATATCTCATAATGTAATTGTTTAGTTTTAAATCAAAATAACAGGTTTGCCACACCAGAAGTCGGTTTATTCGTGGAACATGATCTTTAATTGTTTATACCTCAAAACAGATACATAAAACAAAACAAAAATTGTAAAATAGGAGTACCTACCTATAAGCGTATATCTGTGGTGGAGTACATTGTTATCGCAGTACAAACAAACTGTAATTGAATCTCGTATTCATTATTTTTAAAGGTCTATTTACATTTGAAAATAATTAACAGTAGTCAATTGTTTTGCTAGCACGTGCCTTGATAAGATTGACTTTTTCAAACGGATTGTTTGTAAGGTTTACTGTGATTTAGCTGTGATTATTTATAGTAAGCAATATTTTTAAATTATTTTATTTTTATTGTATTTTAAAAAGTTTTTGTGGGTAAAAAGTCTTTATTTATATGGCTGTATATCGGCTTGCGTGATGAGATATAGTAGTGTAATTACACAGTTCCAGATGCAGAATATTTTATTCTCTTATTTACAAACACTGAAACTACTTATTAACTTACTAATAATAATAAATACACTTTCATAAACATAAGTTTATAAGACATTTGACGTTGTCGTGAATACGTTGGGTTACTTTTAAAAAGTTATTTTATAAGAAGAAAAGTGAAAAGAGTTATTTTTTTAATTTTAAGATCATTTGAGGAGTGCTAATTTATAATTCATAAATACCGAATGTAATGTAAAAATAATTTTACTCGACCAAGTTATTAAGTGTCCGTCGTCTTCATAGCATAAATATTAAATAGTATTATTATATTAATATAATAAATTTTACCCACACTTTAATATTTATGTTATTCACTTTTATATTATTACATTACTGGTCATTGCCCTTTTCATGTCTACTTTCATAATTTCATACACCTATTTCAGCAATATCGACAGTTATGTGTCAGAATTGCCAGTTTCGATGTCCATCAGAAACGAAGGAACTCAAATGTGGTTTTTTCGAGAAATTATATACGATGTTTCCAAGCGAATGTGCTATGAGAGCCCACGCCGAATGTCACAACATTGGTAATTATTTTATTTTTCTTATATTTTCAACCGACTTGAAAAGGAGGAGGTTTTCAATTCGGTTGTATTTTTTATGTTTGGTACCTCATAATTCTATCAGTTCTAAACCAATTTGGAAATTTCTTTACTCGTTTAAAAATATATACTTAGAGATTGGTCCCTAAAAATTTTTTATCCAAATTGGTTTAATAGTTTAGTGTCTATATTAAAATAAATGGTTTTGTCACAAATGTAATCTTTAAGTCTTTAATTGTTTTCTGTTACTGGACTTTATCTTGGACTCTGTTCATAATCAGAATAAAAATTATAAGAAACTTTTAATGGTAAACAATCTGACGGTGCACCAAATGGAAATTGGTAACTGTCGACACAGATAATATAATACTTGCCATCGCCATGAGGAATATAGTGATGGTGATTAGGAAAATATGACTATGTTTTTATGAGTATGTTTTTATTCAAATTTTATAATAAACTAGCGATCCATTCCGGATTCGTACGTGTAAATATATAGATATTTATTTGAAAATAAAATGTCCATATTTTATTTTAAAATGCAGAGTATACTATTTGATTCTATTCTACTCGTTGTATTGTTGTATTCTACTGTTGTTGTATTGTTCTATTCTACTCGTTGATAAATATATAGCTTTTTGTAGGTAAAACAATTGAAAAAGATTAAGTATTTTTCTAGTATCTTTCCTTTTTATTAGTTTAGATATCTTTCCTTTTTATGTATAGAAACAACAATAAAACAAACCATAAAATTGCTATTTTTCAGAGTTGTTAATATATTAATTTACAAATTACTAGATTTACTTGCATCCATTAATTTTACAGACATGGCATTATATATATATATATATATATATATATATATATATATATATATATATATATATATATATAGATATATATATTTAATACATTAGAAGCTCAAATATTATAATGAAAATTATTCTGTGTGTATCCACTAATTATTATCCATAACAATAAATAAATAACTTTGAAACAAAAAGGCGATGCTTTTGCTAATCGTCAAGTAATTTGTTCCAGTCAAACTTTGTTTAGAATATTCTTGAAAAGATTTTTTCCTCAATATTCGAGTGACAACGGGGGAGTTTTAGCTTAATTCCAGTTTGGTAACTATGTTTTCCATCACCAAAGAGTTAATTAGAAATTTAAATTGTAACACAAAGTTTCGATATTGAAGTTTAAGTCACTATGATAATGATGATAATAAATCGATCGATCGAATCGATTTCAATATTATTTCTTAGTAAAAAAAAATATTATTATTAATTAAAATATACGTCTCAATCTTATGGGGTATTATTATTAATAATGTTATTTTCATATAAATAATTATATTTACAATGATTCGATTATTTATTACAAATTAAGAAGTTTTTTTTTAATAATTATTGTATTGTTTGTCCGTTACTTCATTGTATCGTAATATCCAAACAGATAGATTTTATTAATTTAAAAACGTGAGGTGCCTTAGTTGTCCATCGTTGGGATATATTATTTTTTAAATACAGTTTTTGTATGTGTAATATAATTAATAAAATGAGAAAAATAATCAAATGTTGCTTGCTCGTTATTTTTGACTGTAACTGCTTTCCAAATTACAATATTTTTGCAGTATATTAAAAAACTACGTATCATAAGAATTTGTAAAATTCTATATGGATATTTTTTTTATTTCAGATATTGTTGAAACACCAATATCATATTGCATAAAAGCCCACTCTTTAGAGACTCGTAGGATGCATGGAGAATCTTGCCCGGTGTTTTGTCCAAACCATTACAGACCTGTATGTGGAGCGTCCAAGTTGAGAGATTACATTTACAGGACATTTAATAATAGATGTTATTTAGACATGCTTAACTGCCGGGGAGACGAGGATTTTTCTGGTGAGTTTAGTTCCGAATGAACTCTGAATACCTTACCAAAGGGAGACTTTGTATAACAGTCGTTTGCTTGGGTACCTCTGTCCCATTCGTACTGCAACCGTAAAGCAGTTGTGGTTGCATAGCTGTGTTTCAGTTTGACATGGCGTAAATTTACAGGGTACAGAGGAATATCACCCGAGTCCTCAGGAATGGCAACGCATGGGGAGTATCATGGACGAAACAGTATACTCTGTTGTGTCCATGGTACATGTCTATAGGCGACGGTTAGCACTTTCCATCAGGTGGGCCGTCAGCTTGTTTATAAGTTGCATAAAAAAAATAACCTTAGTAGTATATACTACTAAGGTACTCCGACGGTCGTAAGTTTAATCCCCGTATTTGTATTTATACATAAATTCATAGTCGAGGGATGAGCAGCGTTCTTCTTAGAATGCACCAAAGCCTAACTGCAATTGTCAACCCGACTGCTAAGCGTAACAACTACTTTCAATGGCCTCCTTTATGGGGGAGGCCTATGTTTAGCAGTGAACAGTTAACGGCTGATAAGATGGATGATGATTTGTATTTATGAGTATATCAGTATGTACTGTGCTGGGTGTTTTCGATATGTAACGTATATGTATTTAATAAAAGAAGTATTTATATATTTCCATCAGTTGTCTGGTATCCGTATTACAGGTTCTGCTTATTTTGGGACTACATAGTTATATGTATTGATGTAGTGACAAAAATCTAAAAAGGAATGTTGCATTGGTTTGGTAATTTGGAGAGGATAGATGAAAGAAGAATTACGAAAAAAAGAGATTTATCGAGCAAGAATGAATGGAGAAGTCGGTAGGGGCCGCCCTAGACGGACGTATGTTGACCAAATAGGCGACGTGCTAAAGAAGGGCCAAATTAAAAGTACCCGTAACCGGCGAGCGTGTATGAAAAGATTGATAAATGTGGAAGAAACGAAAGAGGTTTGTTTTAATCTAAATATTTGGCTTTCCATTGTTTCTGCCTACCCTAATTGGAGACAGACGTAACAGATATGTATGTATAGTATTGAAAAACATGTCTATTAGTATTTAAAACTATAGTTTTAACAGATTATGTAATTGCATCGTATGTATTTAGTATTAAGAATGGCAAACAAGCTATCGACCTACCAGATGACTGTAGCCTATGACCTTTTCCGTGCTAAATACTATCTCCTCAATTCATAAATATTAAAACCTTCTCTAACTGCCTTAAAATTTACTTAGTTTTGTCTCTTTCTTTTAAATTGGAATTTAGTGTAAAAGAAAGAGACAAAACAGTTTAATAGCTAAATACATTTAAAAGGTTTGATGGTTTAATGTTTTTATAACAAGTGTATACTGAATTTCACGATGACTTATTGTGCGTTTAGTCGCTAAAAACTTGAAATCACTTTCATATAGGTATGTATGAAATATTATACATACATATCTATTACGCCTGTATTACAATAGGGTAGACAGAAACAATGAAACGTCAAATGTTTCGATTTAAACAAGCCTTTTTCGCTTCCTCTACATTCATCAATCTTTTCATTTCATTTTTATCATTAATTTGGCCCGTATTACGCACGTCGCCTATATAAAATATTATATATTGGTGTAATATATATATATATATATTATAGTAAGGATTTATACAGTAAAGTTTAAATAGCATCTAGGAACGTGTAATGTATAGAAACGCCTACATAACAAATATTACTAACGTTAAATTCACATTACGGCAAATGTAAATCTAAAGGCGAAAGTCCTAGGTAAGGATTTTAGGCAAATTATGGAAACGACATCATAAAATATTTTATAACTCCCTCTATAGGCAAATGGATGGGCCGAATAATTTGCTACCTTAAACATAGTGGTATATTACCTGTGTGTTATCAAATAAAACAAGTTAATACAACTATTAAAATAAGTTTTCAATTCGTCTGATTCTTTTCGACTAATTTAAAAAAGGAGCAGTTTCTTAAATCAGTTATAATTTTTTTTATGTTTGTAACTTCATAACTCCGTCGTTTATAAACCGATTTGGAAATTTTTTTTTTCATTTGAAACAATATACTTTCAGCTTAGCTCAATAGAATTTTATCAAATTCGTTTTAGTATTCTAGTATTTCTTTTTTTTTCAAATTAAAGTTTCAAATTAAAATTATGTCAGTAATGAAGTCTTTTTTTTTGTGATAGACAATCTTAAAATACTAAAAAATATTGTACTCGATTACTCAGTTATTTTTATTTTAAAACTAAAGGACTTAACCGATTTTGATAAACACAGAAAAATAAAGATTTTTTCAAATCGGCTAAATTATAATTTAATCAGCATAAAAAATAAAACTGAATTGAGAATTTCCTTCTTTTTGAAGTCAGTTATAAATAAAACTTACTATTTATTTACCTAATTTCAGGTTATGTTGAAGTACCGCTGGAGTTTTGTCAACGGCACCTTATGAAAAATATTTTCAAAGAACAAGTTGTCATATCGAATTTGCATGACTATCAGGACTACGACCACTAATTATTATTCAACGCGTACATGACATCCCTAGTATTGAAGGCGTCCATAGACTACAGTGACCGTTTACAATCAGACGACCTATATGCTTATTTGGCACTTTTGTGATATATAAAAAAATATATTTTTTATAATTATCATCAATATCAGCCTTTAACTGTCCACTGCTGAACATAAGTCTCCCCTTGGGGGTTTTTGCTAGTAGTCGCCATGCTTAGCAGGCGGGTTGGCAACCGCAGTTAGACTTTAGTGATATATTAAGAGGCAAGCTGCTGCTCATATCTCTAATCACTAGTAAATTTTAATATATATTTTTAATCATAAATATTTTCCCGAACCTATAGAAATTGCTAATAATAATTGTAATCGAATACTGTGCGTAATTCCAGTGTTTGATCTCATCGCTCTATATTTGACTATGAGAATAAATATAATAAATAAATAGGTTAGAAATGATAATTAAATTTTTTTCTTTATTAACACACCAATTGCGTCTATTCTGAGGCGTCATTTCTCTAAATCCATCCCTTGACATAATATTTTAATTTAACAGTTTGGCGATATTAATAATAAATAATTTTTAATCAAATAAACTTAATAATAAGCATTTTTGAATGATATTTTTTTTATGAATCTATCGTCTAGTTCGAAATGCAATTTCAGCTGAGTAAAACGGTAAAAAATATAACCGTTGCTTTAATTCAAATAAAAGTTAAGTTTACAACAAAAAAAACATATACTGTTTTATGGACCATTATAAACTATATTTATAATAATTTTAACTTAAATCTTATTAGAAATAAAGTTTATATTGGTCTTTTTTCTGACACCTCAGGATCTATCCTAAAACCTCCAAAATCTTCCCTTTATACCCCGCATCGAAAGAGTTATTATAAACTTATTTGTACTTGACAAATAACTTTATGATATAATTCACGCAAACTACTTGCAAGTAGGGGAAAATCATAATTTCACTGTGATGCTTGCGCCAACTGTCTACAATCACAACCTCAAAAAGACTACAGTGTAACATCATGTCTGTCTAATTAGAATTGACAGTCATGGATGATATTACATTTGTATGAAATAAAAAGATAAAGATGATACGCGGTTTCAATGCTGATGGACGTTTACATGTTTATTGGAATATTGCCTGCATTTTTTGTTACATTTTAAGATTTAAGTCGTAATTATTAAAAATCCTTGTTTATCCCCTATAAGTTTTTATATTAATTTAGATTGTATTATAGCTCCATTGATTTGTTTTAATAATACACTCCGAACACAAACTCGACACAGTATTGAGCATATGCCTGTTATTTTTTTTTAAATTATAATTAAATATATTGAAAATATTCACTGTAATTTGAAAATTGTACCGACTAGATATAGATAAATAAACTTAATGTTTTATGGCTATAAAAAGTAATAAAATCCAAAGGTCGTCTGGAATTTAGCGATAAGGCCGCCCATTGTTTTCTCAGTCTGTTTTTTTTCTTATAATTGTTTGTATTTGTAATATGTTTAACTACTGTAATCTTTTGTAGAAAACAATAAAGAGTTTTATCTCTCTATAAACATATTTAAAATCGTCTAAAGTATATATCTACTAACAAGTTGCACGCGAGCGACTATAAATTTAGCAAACAATACTATTGCATCTAATAGTAAGAATTTTTTTATAATATTTAGAATAATATAAAGCTAATTCTCCATCTGATGGAATGTGGTAATCAACACTTGTTTATACACATGAATAGTCTATAATGCTCATGGTTACCTTAGGCAGTATAGTTTATCCTGTATTACCATTTCTGAGGACTATGATGGAGATTTTATATAAAAGCATGTCCTCTGTCCCACTCGTACTTCTGCCGTAAAGTAGCTTGCATGGCTGCGTTTCAGTTGGAAAGGATCGATATAACAATAAAATTACAGGGTACAACTGACATAATAGACTCTACTTTCTTGGAATCACTCTCGACAATAAAACTCAGTGAGGTCCTCGCATTCAAAACCTTGCAACTAAATTAAGTTCTGCGGCGTGTCCTGTACGCAGAGTTAAACAGTATACTACGAGTATATATTGAAACTACCAGATTAATTTATTTAAGTTACTTTCATAGTTTACTGTCCTATGGAATATTATTATATGGTAAAGGAGCCGACGTCCAAAGCATATTTGTATTATAAAAACGTTCGCACGATTTATTCTATGGAATGGCGTGAATCACCAAGAGAGAAATTTAAAGAAGCAAATATTCTCACTGTTATTTTACAATACATATTCGCAAACATTTTGTATATACTCAGAAATTTTTAGCTGTTTCCTAAAAATAGTGATCTCAATCATTTTAATACTAGATATAAATTAAAAATTGATATTCCGAAGTATAGTTTAGAAAAAGAAAAAAAAGGGTCTTTTATGGGAATGGGCATTAAATGTTATAATAAGATACCGAAGAATATTTTGGATCTACCTTTTAATAATTTTCAAACAGTTATTTTTAGAAAAAACACTTACTGTATAAAAAAAAAATCTTTCTTTCTTTCTTATTGAACGAACCCTATTAGACACTAAACGATTACTTGAAAGACAAATATGCATGGTATTAGTCGATCATGCACGAGCTTTTTAATAACTATGTAATTTTAGAAATAGTACATTTAAATAAATACACATAATGTTAACAGAGATATAAATGAGTAACTATTTAGTTTTTAACAACTTTCCGAAACTGTATTCATAAAAAAATGCCGATTTATATGTGCTTGTACACAAGTCTATTTGAATGATTTTCAATTTGAATGTAACATTATAGTCCTTAGGAATAGCAACATATGAGGTATCCCGTGGATATCACACTGTATGACATTCATAGTACTATTCATGTCTATAGACGACGGTTACCGCTTTCTATTAGCTTGTTTGTCAGTTAAGTACTATTAAAAGAGTATAACTTTCTGTCTACAGACTTATACGAGTACTTTGTCAACAAATAATATCATATATAATATTTAAATTTTGCCCACATATCGCTGGAGCCGATCCAAGCAGTACCATTTGTTTGCGTCTGGCGGGAACGGGAAAGATGGTAAATGGTTCTTGTAAGTGGTTCATATTAGCTAAATTACTTGAACGCTTGCTATTAATTTAAAGTCTGTGCTGACGGTGAAATTTTCATGCACGGATATATTAATTTCTCTTTGTATAAGTCGTGTACTTGCAGAACACGTAAGTGTTGTTACTTATAATTTTAGGAATTGTTATGAATCGATCGATTATGATGGATTATGATAGATATTGTAGTATAATGAAGTATGATTGGAATGAAATTTACACGTGAGGATTATTATTAGGATATCTCTTCGGACTTAAAAGTGAGAAAATATAAAGCAAACATAAAAATAAAATATCTCCACGGACAGAATCCATCATTTGCGTAGGCCATTAACAAGATACCAGAAAGAAGTATCTAGTTTTAAATTACGTAGTTCTGTGTTATCAGATAGATTTAGTATTTCTAAACTAAACTTTATAAAACACGAAGGAAAAGAAATAACAGATTATATTTTAAAATATAATTTCAACAAGAGAAGGTCGTCACTCCATCTAGTGGGGAGTTGTCCTAAATGGGCGTTATTTGATTAATAATAAGAAATTCATTAAAATTGATTCATAATTAATAAAAATAATTTATTTCATGTATACAAACAATAACGAGATACAGTCTATTTTTTTTTTTTTTAAAACCGACAGAAAACTTTTCAAATTCTATAAAAAATTGTTACAAATATGCTCATAATTGCAATATGTTTGTTTTTAACAGACAATCCCTGAACAAAGGAAATATTAAGAGAGTTGAAAAAAGGAAATGACACTTTCGTTTCCTATTTTGAAAATTTACAAATCAGGTTTTTACTGTTACTATCCACAACTATTTCTGTAAGAAATTTTCATGCAATAAAAATGTAACAACCGAACTCTCATGCAACTCTCCGTCACATGAATTTAAAAGTTGAGTACAAATTTCGAACTCTCGATCGTTCATTTGAATAGCGATATAGGACAACTTGTGCAGAAATAATATAACTATGTATTTCTAGTGCTGGTTCTAACGTTGTTTCCGAATTTAATGTTTCAAAATATCATGAAATATTGTAATTCTCCAACTTCTGCGATCAACTTGCATTATTGAATATTGGAAATCGTTGCTATGGCGTCAAACGAAACCATGGTAGATAGAATTATGACAGACTATGTCTGTCATAATTCCCATGCCCCATGTCTCTGTACTCTGTAATTTCATTATTATATTCCATACTCCAAATAACCAGTTACGTTGTAAAGATTTTTATATAAAGAGCTATTTGAATTGAAAACAGAAACCAAAAGAAAATTAGAGCCTTTACTAACTAAGCATCAAGATATGTTGTATTGGTAAATAGGTATAGGAGTGCCAATTTTTTATGCAACATAAAAAGGCAAACAAACTGATGGTTTATTTGATGGAAAGTGATAACCGTCGTCTGTAGACATGCATAGCAATATGGACACCATAGAGAAACTATAATAATTTACCTGGGTAAACTTTAGTTTATACTAATTCAACAGTTACAAAAACGAATTCTATAGTAATTCAATTATATGAGCCGTGTGGTTCCAGCACATAAGAGGCCACCGCTTCCAAATTACTAATTAACATTTTTACTTTTCTAAAAAGGCAAACTTTTATACTAATTAAATTAATATATAATTTAATTAATTTAATTAATAATTGAAGTTTTAATGAAACTTATAAAGAAGAAATTTGGAAAATAAATGAATTATAAAACATAAAAATCTATATTACATTAAATCAACAGACGGCATTTTTACTTATAAATAATATAATTAATAAATAATAATAAATAACAACAAGAACCAGCATATTTTATAAACAGCTGTCGTAAGAAGCGACTAAGGGAGGGCGAGGGATGGGCAACAGCGTCCCTTTTAAAACATTTCCAAAACCTTACTGCGGTTGCCAATCCGCCTGCCAAACATGGCAATTACTAGCAAAACTTCCTAAGGTGGAGGTTTATGTTCAGCAGTGAACGAGTAAAGGTTGATATGATGATAGAAACTGTGTGATTCCTGTATA